GCAGAATCGTGGATGACGGATGGGATAAAGGAAGCACAGGTAATTATTACAATTCATAGATAAAAATGATATATATTTTATTATCAGTGACAACGACTATTAGGTATATCTATCACGAGAAATTTTCTAGATCTGCCGTCACGTTACCTTTTCGTACGCAATACTTATAGCCTATACTTAAAACGTGATTGATCAATATCACGTAACCTGACATGAATCATCTGATGCAATATGACGTAAATTTATATAATTATAAAAATTTGAAGATAAAGCTTGATAAGATAAATCAACATCAAATATTGTACCATAGTGTCCCTAATGCCATCCTATTGACAATTGGCTCGTTTCCCTAGTCTGGACAAATAAAGCTGGTTTTACTTACTTAACCTTTACCATTAATATCCGTCGACTCGCAATAAGCGTCACGCACCTCGCAAATGCAAGGTAGGCAGCCAGGTACGTATTAAGGCGAGCATGCATAGCGACGATTAAATATTTTTTTTTTTCTTTTACATTATAGTTACGTCGCGACATGAGAATCCCAAAAGCGGCACAGTGCCATTACGCGTCTAAGCCAATTTACGGAAGGCTCGTAACGTTTCCTTGGATCGCGAATATACATTTCCGGTCTGACACGTGTGATAAAGTTTATCCCATTCGTATCCCCAAGTATCGGTCGATGCATAGTAATATATAAGAGGATGAAAAAATTATTTATCTCCCCGTTAATTGTCATAGGGGTAGCAATGCTCGAAAGCCCTTACAGCATATGCATAAGTGACTACCTCGGTATGGTGGACGAATTTAAAAAAAATGTAATGAAAAAAATTTGAATAATATAAAATCGAGATTTTGCCTTGAGATGGAAAATAAATCGGAAATGACGCTACTCGAATGCTCTGATTCGTCGTTTCCTTTCTGCTGGGTCACACGTGGTGCATCCCTACGCCGGTAACTGCGTCTCTTAGGTAGAAGTGCATGTGGGTCTGGTTGGTGGGCTTGATGGGTAGGTGTGTAGGATAGCTATGCAATTTCTTCAGTGAAATAGAAGAGATCGATGCCACTCTGGCAACGTACCAGACGGCTGGGAAAACTACGACGTATAGAAGAAGCTTCAAGGCGGATACGTATGTAGATATTGTAGCGCGACAATTATATTTGCGCGCCGAATTTATTCCAGATGCCAGCACATTCGTGTCCTCCCACTTAGTGTAGATTTTAGTAGCTTCGCGAAGGAGTCTTGCTCTTCCCATTTGCCTGTAGGCAGTGAATACGGAAGCAGCAGGTATTTATAGTAAAGAATATAGAAATCGCTTATAAGGACGTTACTTTATTAGATTTGTTTTTCTATCACTCTCTCAGGTATTTGGGCCATTGTCCCGTGGTCAACGTAGGAGTATTTTATTCGGCTTGGATTTTTATTAGAAGCAAATTGCGTACTGGAAACACACGAGGTGCTGTATATTGGAAGCTTCCTGGCTACGGCTGGTTTATCACGATCACGTAAATACAAAAAATTGTCACCACGATTCTCTATGTTAATATATTTTTAAATATAATGTGCGTGCGTTAGCGAAATTCAGTAATTTGTCTTAAACGGCATTTATCTATATTAAATTCCTTTTATTGTACATCCGCATATCATTGATTATACGGTATCGCTCAAATTGTTCAAAGCTCTTATTTTGGTAGTGTTTTCTCTGTTATTGTGTTTTACCATTAATGTTTAATATAAAAATAGTGTTATATTACAATATATATACTTACTTTTTTCTATTTCCTCCACCGATAACGCATGCCGAGCGTTGCACCGTTTGTTGCATATCGATAAATTCGGACAGGTGTTTACATGACGTAATTGAAATTGCATCGTTATAAACTGTATATCCAAGGGGTTTGAGAAGTATTAAAACAATTTTAAACAGTTATTAACGTATATATATATATATATATATATATATATATTTACTTGCATAATTTTAATCGTGTTATTTGGCGTTGCAATTTTTTTGCGATTTATCTGTGTATTGTCGTTTCTGGCAAATTTCGCATTTTTACGTTTTTACCATTTTCCGTATAGTCCTACTGTTCGCACACGGTGTTAATAATATTTCATTGAACAGTTTACAAGTATTCTCGATATGTACGCGGTGTATAACTATATGTTATTTAGTTGGATATTGCAAAATCGTGAAATTCGATCCAGATGGCGACACTGTCCGATATCTTTCCGCTTGTTTATTAACGTTCATTTCTTTGTGTATTATAATAATAAAGGGGAACGTTGTCCCGACTGGCATTGCGACTACGACATCTTTTTCATCGTCCTTTCTTCGCGCTCGATTGCCCGCGGACTTTTACTTTCAAAGGAATTTCACTTTTTAACCAAAAAGCAGTTTCACCAGGCGTTTGCATAGAGCGCCGATAAATTGACCGTGACCCGCGTTACAATCGCGTGAAATCAATTGATACAGTCGATACCAAAAAGCGACGTCGACAATACGCGGAGCGTCTCGACGTCGCGGCTTACGGACGTGTAATAAGAATTATGGGAACTCGATAATTTTTCATGAAAACAAATAAAGCCTCGTTTATTATCCTAACCAAGAAAATTTGCGTGACTGGAGGAATTGCGAAGGGTAAGAAAAAAAGTTTTTTTTTTTTTTTCTTTTTTCGAGAAAAGTGAAAGCCATCGATTATGGCGTTTCCGTTTAGTAAGCGTCGAGCGGAGATTTTAATTTTTATCGGCATCCGAGAACTTCCGGTCTGATGATGATCGATGAAAAATTTACTCTTTCGTTCTTACGGATCGTTCGGGATCGTACTTCCGGTTTTAAGGAGGTACGTCTATAGTGATCCGAGTCGGAGAGCAGGAACGACGCCGGGCGTCTGGTGGCGTCGGTGAAATTATAAATTTTCTTTTCAATCTTGTCAATAGCAGCTCGGCAACGCGTCGCTGCCTTTTAAAGGATCTATCGGAAGGTTGTTGTATGTTCGCCTTGAAGTCTTTCACGCGGTGCCACCTCGGAGGTGGGTTATGAAATAACGGGAATACTTTTGGCTGCTGATGATTTTTGAAAAATTACCGATGACTTGCTATGATTTCATCATGCTTTTTGTTTTATCTATTGCAAGTCATCGTTGCTCTTTAGTAGCCTCGACCAATTGACCAATAACCTTGGTGCGTCATGCTAGATAAAATTGAGGCAGATAGCATTGAGTTTCGTGACGCTAAACAAGACTTACATTGTAGCCTTTGTTATCAGGGTTCAATCTAAATCTGAATATTTTTACAATTGACACTGACTGTTCACGTGGTACAATGACTGGCGTTATCGATTAATGAGACACGCGTTTCATAAAACTATGCAATAAATGAATAATAATAATAAGTATCGTTCGGATAAGATATGATTCAATGAAACGCAGACCTCTTATAAGGTTAGTTGCCGATAAGTCTCGTCAGTCAGTCGCCGATGGTCAGCTTGAGCAGAATGATGATCCCGAGCCGTGTCTTATTTTTGGGCCTGCTGATATTAATAATCAATAATGGATTGGTGGAAAGTGCGCGGATATTGGCTATTTTTCCAACCACTTCAATCAGTCATCAAATAGTGTTGCGGCAATTTGCGGTTGCGTTGCAAAAGCGTGGTCACGAATTGGTGGTGATAACGCCTAATCCTATTGGGAATAAGGATTTTGAAAATTACACGGAAATCAATACGGATTATCATTACGTTGAAATGAAAAAGTTTGATTTCATCAAGATAAGAAAGGAATCCCCGGATTTTCTGAAATTTCAGCGATCGTGGGCGAATTCTTCGTTTATGATGATTCGTGATATATTCGAGGACCGGAATTTTAAAAAAATCTACGCACCCGAGAGCAATGAAAAATTTGATTTGATCATTTTCGAATTACTTACGTATCAAGGATTGTACGGTTTGGCGGCACGGTTTGATGCTCCTATTATAGGTAAGACCGAATTACGTGATTATGTAATTAATTTGTTACATTACTTATACAGCAGAGACAAAGTGACAGATAAATATGGGAAATTTCAAAATTTTATGCTGACGGATATCACAGTCGCGTGCAAGAGATGCTTCATGATGACTGTTGAGATTGTTGAGTATGAAATTTTGACATTTCTCATACGTAACTGTCACTTTGTGTTTGCTGGGTTATTTGCCACAATAGATTTTTGTGTTTCAGGTATTACTAGTCTTGGGTTATTATCTACTGCACATCACATGTTAGGCAATCACATTTCGACATCTCATGAATCCTTGTGGGAACTGTTGAACGACTCGGGAGTGAATTTGCCATTTTGGAAGAGATTATATAATTTTTATAGAGTCTGGTATAACTTACATTGGTACTACAATTATTACCTACCTGCACACGATGAAATCTCAAAGAGATACCTAGGACCGGATACACCGGATGTGGCCA